AGTTAAACTGCTGGTTCCACCTTGTTTGAAGCAAAATCTACAAAGGAAAACGGATTACAGCATCTTCGAAAATGCTGTACTTATTTCAAGGATACATGATCTAATAACTGGACTTCAAACTACGAAGATCACAACCATTCTGTTTTTTTTTTTAAGAAAACTTGCTAAGAGCGGCTGTCCTGAAATCCTGCGATTGATCCAAATCAATGACTTCTTTTTCCTCTATATGAAAATCTTTGGCTCTTGTCCTAGCAGGAAGCAAGTACCCATATTTAGATTGAAAAATAATTTATTAATTTAGTATTTACAAATTTACTTTTTAATTCCCGAACAACTCGGATTTTACCTCGCGCAACCCCTAGTGCCGTCACTGTATTTGTCGCCTTCTGTAGTCCAATAGAAAAGCTAATACAATAAAAAACTAGTTGTAATGCGTTTAGAGATTTAATTTATTTACCAGTCTTGACAGAGACTTGGATGATTTCGTCGGCTTCAAATATTCTAGTACCTCCTTGTCAGCAAATTATCCAAAAGTCGCTCTTAAACCTAGCATAATAATTTTTTGAGACTTTCTTATAAAACTTCTAATCCAATAATAATAGTTAAAGCTATTTAACCAATTAAATTAGCTGCAATGATTATATAAATCAAATCAAATAATACAATTTTGCCTTTTTATTTGCCTATTTATTTCATTTTTTATTTCTATTTTGTAGGCGTGCTGCAAATGACAAACATAAAATCCACTATTTATTATAATTATAAATTATCTAGACAAACATATTTGGTACACATTTTTAACATCCATTAAACCTCTGTTTAATTAGTACTTAGAAACAATTTGGCGTAGTATAAGCAATATTTTAGAAAATATTTTAATTGACAATATGATTAAGATTTTTCAAAAGAACATTACTGATCATAACACTAATTGCTATAGAACAGAAGAATAGTAAATGTGGCTTCAGTTTTAGGGTACTTGCAGAGTTGCATAAACTCGTGGAATTGCAAAGTCTGTAAGAAATAACGCTGGTCTCACCGGTTTTAGCATTCGTAGGGTGCACAAGTTCGCACTCATATGGTGACATACAAGAACGTTTGATTGTCACTATATCATCAGCTGAAACATGTGAAATGAGAATTTGCACTTGTAAAGCTACAAAGGCGGTTTATTCACCGAACTTACTATTGAAAATAATGCCAAACATTTTTTAATGATTCGATAATGTTCAGAGTATCGCTCGATGCAATTTGAATAATGAAAAATTAATGAGAGAGTTTGAGGAAGATGATTAATAGCAATTTGAAAATATTCTTACTTTGGGATATGTAGATTCCACATAACTCGTTTGACATGCAATATTCAACTTTTACATTTGCAAGATTGACTTCACAATCATTGTTGGTTCCTTTTTGTCCACTGCAATTGTAGCATTGTAAACTGAATCCTACGAAATTACATATAAATACGACATATTAAAGATATACGCTTGTAACCTCTGCTTGTAACCATTCAACAATTAAAATACTTGCACTATTGGGCATATATGATTTCTGAAACTTACAATTTTTCCCATGTTTTGTTGTATTTGTATAAAGAATAAAATTAGACGCGTTATTGCCATTTAATTGATGCAAAATTTATTGGCTATTCTACTTAGCTTATATTAAGCACTATATATTCCTCTAAAGAGTTGACAAGTACATAATTATCGGGTCTCACAGCGAGGTTTTTTATTATTATTTTTTTATTATATTGACTAACATAGTTTATTAACATAGTCAAAACCTCTGCTTGTAACCATTCAACAATTAAAATACTTGCACTATTGGGCATATATGATTTCTGAAACTTACAATTTTTCCCATGTTTTGTTGTATTTGTATAAAGAATAAAATTAGACGCGTTATTGCCATTTAATTGATGCAAAATTTATTGGCTATTCTACTTAGCTTATATTAAGCACTATATATTCCTCTAAAGAGTTGACAAGTACATAATTATCGGGTCTCACAGCGAGGTTTTTTATTATTATTTTTTTATTATATTGACTAACATAGTTTATTAACATAGTCAAAAC